TTCAGAAGTTAAGACTTTCCACCACGGTCAAAGCATGATTTCATTTCGCACTTTATTCACAACTCACGCCCCGGGTTATTCAAACCAAACGTTGTTGCGAATAACCGCATCGTCGTACACATTCTAACCAAAATTCAAATGTTTCATGCACTCTAATAGTGTACAGTGTGGTAGTGCATCTCATCACCAACTAAGACTAAATCCAGCCAGATTCATCCCGCGCCCTATTTCTACTCATCGTTGGATGGGTAAGCCCATGGACTGGTGAAAGTGCACTACAGTGAATACCTGACCGCAGATAGAGAATGGTTTATTGCAAAAAATGACCTTGAATATCTGTATATTTTGTTGAATAAATGAAAAAACCACCACATTTCATAAATGCATGCACGCGTGAAATATTATCATCATTAGGATCATGGTAAATACACTCAATAGTACACATTATAAGCACGGGAATGGAAAAGACGCTGTGTGAGCTATGCTCTTAGTAACATCTATGCCAGCTGTACACCACACAATCAGCACACTTTCAGAAAGCGCACTAACACATTGTATGCGGTAGTTCCATGAGTTGAGGTCAAAAGGGAATGTGGAGAGTGCAAAGCGTTCGCTGTAACTTGTCTCACAATACTGATGTATAAATACTCCCTTGAAGAACGTATTTTAATAAAAAGTCACTGACAATCTCCAGTCATAGATTCGTAAAGGAGAAGCAAATAAGACTACGCATGTTTTGCCAAAATCTGTTCATCGTCGCGGTCTTGTTCGCAACTCTGTTCGGTGAGTAGGCTTGCCGCAAATCGGTTCATTACAAAATTTGCCCTATATGAAAACGATGACGTATTTCAAGCACATGCATAAATAGGTTGCGACACAATAGAGCTACAGTTGAAGCATCTCGCAACCGCAGCACATGAGCGATATGTTCCTGTTACATCAGGATTTTTACTAGAAGTGTGTTGTTGCCCCGTTGGTAATTGACATCCACACATGTGATTTAATTTCTAGTCCAGCCTTCAAATTTGTCTAATTTACGGATTCTAAAGCTTTTGGTTATGTATACGTGTATCGTGTATCCAACTGGAACACAGAGAAGAAGTCTCCAAAATGGTGCAGAAATGATGTGAACATGTTTCATTGAATATGTTAGTTCACTTATCGGCTCACGTAATCAAAGTTTAATTAATGAGAGTGATTTGGTATTATGCTTTGCATTTTAGAATATGCCAATACAACACCCGTCGTACCGAATGATGAGCAACAATTGAGTGAGTGTTATATTACATATTTATCAAAAGGAAACTTTCTCCAATTCAATTTATTAATTCATTATATGACCAAAAGCAGTCAGAATCCTTATTTTCCTGGCGAATCGGCCTACTGCAATACGGTTTTTCTTTTTTCTCCACCCAGTGTTACATTCATGCTTGAACCAGGTGTCTAATCATTTGTGTAGACATTCGTTTGCAAATTTCCCAATATGCTTGAATATTAGTGACATCGGGCTTATCCTACTTTCGTGAGGTCTATTATTCAGCAAACGCGATCACTTGCGTTTTATTTTTGATCTAGCAACTGCGTTACTAAATACGCTTTGCATTCTCAGGACCTCAGCGGCTTACTGACCCAGTGAAACAGGAAACCGATGAGCTTTCTGTTTATAACACTGATGATTCTTGTAGAAACAATGACTCATCCAAATCCGTGAATGAGTGAAACTCAAAATGTAGCATTGAACATCGCTGGTGATAATGCTGCAAGCACCATATTGTATCCAAACTAATCGGTGTGTTAGAAAGTGTTGTTTGGTTTGACCGTTTTTCTGATTGCATTAATTGTGGTTTTGGGATTGATCCGTATATGACATTTGTTTTGCAAACCGGACTGAGACCATCTAATTGGTTCAAGCTTATATGTGATTCCTGTGATTCCTTCCCAAATGTGATTTGTGTTCAGTACACTTGAAGCAACACCTTTTAGATGTAGATCGCATAGATATCCTTCGGGATATGATTTCAATCGATGCATTTATGAGCACATTGATGTGATACCAAACCCATTCCTAAATTTTTGGGGACATCATGATCATAATTTTACCATTGTTACAAATAACGAAATTACCTTAATCTCTAATAACAAATCGATAACCGCTGTTCACAGATTTGAACTATTCATGGTAATTCGCGGTATTCAGGTTCAACTAACTATCTGTTCTAAAATACAATACTGCTACGGATCAATCAATCAATGTTTTCCATCAAAGAGAATAACAGTTGTGTGTTTTGAACGGTCAACGATGAGAATTGTATTAAAATGCGAAATCGGTAGCTTAGTACACGAGCTCTTTGAAAGAATTTAAGCAGAACAATATTACAAAATAATTATTTTCGTCTTTCACTTGCCTTGGTCTGGGCGGTAGGACGGAGCTTAAGCAACCCGTCCGATCGCGCACGCCTCCAAGTCAGGCCACACACACGCTCGCAACGCTCCACGCAGGCTGAACCTGATTGGATGATCACAGAACGTGTCAGCCAATGTTTTGTCCAAGCGATCAATCGATATGTCAAGAACACGATCTGATTGATGCGCCACTGCGCCGATCTCGTATGCCGTCTTCTGCTT